CGGCCCTGCCATAGGCGCACGTCTGTTATGACATGAAAAGTCGACATGTGTGCATGGTACTTACTTACTTCTAAACCAATAAAGGGTGGACCATCGACGCCGTTCTTGCCTCTGGTTCTCAAGTTATACTGTACCGGTTGCAAGCATGCGGGCGGGCTTGCCTATCGTCGCCCATCCAGGCGCCCTACAGCCCCGTGCAAGTATGCTACCTGTCCGCACGCCTGCACCCGGTACAGTCTAACCCGAAGAAAGAACGGCGCCGACGGCCCGCCCTGTATAATCCTGCCTCCGGTCGGATCAAACCCCGAGAGCATGACGATGGCGCCCTTCACCGCTCCGGCCCGCACATGAAATGAGCCAGAAAATGAGGCCGTGAAAACCAACCACGACCCGGCCAATATAACGAGATGCTGGAGTCGTTGCGGCCCTTTTTATTTATTTTTTTGGTTCGTCGATCAAGGTCACGTTCGGACGGTGATTCGCGAAGGGGGACTGCATTCGGCCCGTCTGCGTGCGGGCCCCGCACCCGCGAGCCCCCTCTCCTTCAAGGTGTTGGTGGCGGCGGCCGCGGGCCGCGGCGGGCCGTCGGACAGCCGGGCGGACAGGCGGACGGACCGAGCAGATGTTTTGGTCGCGGGGCCCCTGCCCCCCTCCCCCCGCTTGCCCTCCGCGAGCCTCCCGGCCCGCCGCCAGGCAGGCAAGCCGCCAGCCAGCCAGCAGCCAGCCAGTCGGTACCGAGCCGCCGCTCAGAGCAGACGCGCTTGTCGCTGGTCTCTCCGTCTCTCCCCCGCACGATCTCTCACAATCGCGATCGCCCGAGCCGCAGCCCTTCGCACAGGATTACAGTGCAGTAGTGCCAGTAGTGCAGCGCCAGTGCAGTGCAAAGAGAAGCCCATTTTGGATTACCGCCGCAGCCGCAGCTCCTCGCCAGGACTCGCACTGTAGGTACCGCTACGTACCGCGCCGTCCAGCTGACCCCGGCCCGCCCCGCGCCCACAGATTTCCATCGCTCTCCTCCCTGGCCTGGCATTCCCTGGAGTGCCAGCGCGCTCCGCGTTCCAGAGAGCAGCTGGCCTGAATGGGCTTCTGCAGGGACTGCTGCGCTGCAGGGGCAGACACTGCAGCTCGCCCTGTCTCGCGCCTCGCTCTCTCGCTCGCTCGAGCCCCGCGGCGCCGCTAGGACCGCTCTCTCCACCGCGACGCCGTCCTCCTCGGCTCGGCCGCCGCGGTGTTCGCGGGCGGTTCGGAACGGCGGTGTTCGAGAAAGTCGAACGGTACCCGCCGCGGCAGGCCGCGCCGGTCAGAGGTACCCCTGCCAGCTCAGCTGGGGCGCCTCCAGGCCGCCGGTACCGCACAGCTGCACGCCGCGCGCCCGACCGTCTGCACGATTCAACGACCTCGCCGCAGCCGCCCCTTCCCCCCGACCACGGCGCGCTGAAACGTGTGGCCAGAACGTGGTCGTGGTCGTAACGTGCGACTTGTGACCTAAACGTGGTCGCACCTTGCAACTTGTGGCCTAAACGTGGTCGAACCGGGGAACTTGTGGCCAAAAGCCAAAACGTGGTCGTCCTTGCAACCTGAAGCTGGTCGTATCGTGCAACTTGTGGCAAAGACGTGGTCGTGCCGTGCGACTTGTTGCCGAAACGTGGTTGTACTCTGCACCCGCTCGAGGTCATTCCCCGTCGGGTGCTGCATGGTATGGCAAGTCCCATACCGCTCCCGTAAGACAGGGGCGTTACACTGGGCGGGAGATGGTCATGGTCACGGAGTTCTTTCTAGCAGGCTGCCTCTGCCCCCCCCCCCCTCTCTCTCTCTGCTCCAAGGCACCGTTAAAAACAGTAATCGCGCGACGCGAATTTGGCCGCCACGTGCGGCGGCTGCACCGCGGCGCCACGCACCGCCACGCCGCGCGCGACGCCGGCGGCGCCTGCACCACAACCTTCACGGGCGCAGCGTTGTGGAGCGGGGGTCGAGGCTGCGCCGGAGGGGGAGAGGGGGGGCGCACTCGGCCAAGACACACATCTTGGAGGACGGGCGGAGCGCGCGGCCCGCGGCCCCCACTCCTTCAAGTCCTGTGGATGTTCCCCAAGGATTCGGCTGCTTTGCCTCGTTCTTTTTGAGCGGCCGAGTGGACGGAGTAAGGTTCTCCTGTGGCTGTTCTTGACCCAGAAGCCTGCGAACTCCTCGGTATGCGTCGCAGTCTGTGTCTCGCTCGCTTGTTGAATTGCAAAACTCGCGGCTGCGTGACCTTGGCCCCCTGTCGCGATGCATAATTTGATTAGCCATGCAGTCCCTGATCAGCTGATTACTTGTTATCAGCTGATCGGCCGGGGGGCGTCAACGGGGTGGGTGGGGCCGAGTGATGAGTGAAAGACTGAGAGGGTGATAGAGAGGGAGGGAAGAGAGAGAGAGCGCGCGCACGTGGACTGGCAGGATGTCGTGAAGTGCTCTGTAGCGTTTGGTGGACGGGGTGCGTGTAGCAGAAAACGTCCGCCCTTGCCTTCACCCCATCCTGCTAGGCGCTTCCGGGCCGGGGGAACACCCTGCCTGAACACCCTGCTCTGCTCCCCGCCGCCTTCCTGCTGCTCCCGCTCCCCCTTCCCCACGAGTGGCGGTGTAAACACAGATGTTGCGCGCCGCCGGGCCGGATTCCACAGTCCCGCTACGCGTTCAATCCCGCAGGGATCGGGACCACGCTGCCCCCCCTCCCCCCCCCCTCAACGTCTCGCGGCCTGCCAGGACTCCAGGATAGGCCCTGCAAAGAGTCCCTTAACCCCATTCGCGAAGCAGCCCTCAGTAATCATGAATCGTGGCGGATTTCAGTCCCGCTGAACAGAAACCCGGTTATCGCTTCCCTTTCAAACTTTGGATGCACGACTAACCTGTTTCCCTCTTTCTGTTTCCGCAGAGATGCAGTTACAAATGGGTGTCCAGACGGAGCTCAGGTCCTGGGAGTGGAAGACGTGCTTCGCGCCCTTCCCGGAGCCCGACCTGCCCAAAGGTGAGTGGCAGCGCAGCAGCGCAGCGCCTATACGTCGTCGACAATGAATGAGGGTAGTTTCGGCATCTTGGCCGTTGGCACTAAATGGGGCTGTGGGTGAACTTTATCGCGCGTATTCGTTCAAGTAGTTCCCCGGGTACCTCTAAAGGTACCTCTCGGTAAAGCTCACTGCGCCCCGCGGCAGCTGGACGCGCGGAGAAAGCTGCCCGCTCCGCTGGAGAAACGCAGTGAGGGAGGGGGGG